GGCTCTATTGTAGTCAAATCCAGTGACCGTTAAGCTCCAGTGGTTGCAAGAACACATGAAATTGGGCCTTCCTATTTTCCAAGCAATTGGCTATGGGAAAACGTTCTTCTTGTGTGTTCCCCTGTGTGTTTCTCTCTCTCTTGCCCTTCTCCATGACTATGTCTCACTCCCCTCTCCAGCAGCCAGCATCCATTTCTTCCCTAAACCATGTCTCTGCACTTCTTACCTTCTCCAATGTGGCCTCTCCTCTCCTTTTAGTTGTGAAGTCTGTTCTGTCAGTCTTCAGGTCAATTTCTGGAGTGCTTAGGATAATTTGATAGTTACCTAGTTGTATTGATGGGATGAGGCAATCCTAGTGTCCAAATCTGCCATCTTCCTGTCATTCAATCCCTTTATTTTCAATCTGCATGTGTCTTTAGGTCTGAAACGAGTCTCTCATAGATAATATATAGATGGGCCTTGTTTTATTATGCTTTCCATCACCCTCTGTCTTTTGACATCACCCTGTGTCTTTTGATTAGAGCATTTAGTCCACTGACATTCCAAGTAATCACTTTTCCCCCAAATATTTCATTTATTTTACAAAGAGAGAGAGAGAGAGAGAGAGAGAGAGAGAGAGAGAGAGAGAACACCCACAAGCAGGGGGAGCAGCAGAGGGAGAGGGAGAAGCAAGTTCCCTGATGAATAGGGAGCTCAATGTGGGGCTCAATCCCAGGACGCTGGGATCATGACCTGAGCTGAAGGCAGATGCTTAACCTACTGAGACACCCAGCTGCCCCATCTGCCTGACTTATTTTGCTGAACATAATATACTCTAGCTCCATGCATATCATTGAAAATGGCAAGATTTCATTCCCTTTGATGGCTAAGTAATATCTATCTATCTATCTATCTATCCATCCATCCCACATCTTCTTTATCCATTCATAGTTGATGGACATTCGGGCTCTTTCCATAGTTTAGCTATTGTTGATAATGCTGCTATAAACTTCAGTATACCTGTATCTCTTTGAATCTGTACTTTTTTTTTTTATCCTTTGAGTAATACCTAGTAGTGCAAATGCTGGATAGTAGGGTAGCTGTATTTTTAACTTTTTGAGGATACTCCATGCTGTTTTCCAGAGTGGCTGCACAAGTTTGCATTTCCACCAACAGTGCAAGAGAATTCCCCTTTCTCTGCATCCTAGCCAACACTTGTTTCTTGTGTTGTTAATTTTAGCCATTTTTTTCGTTAGTTACTATGGGAATCTGGCCATGTTGCTGCAGGTAAATCTCATAATATTGTGGAAGTCCTCCATGACTGCTTCCCCCTGGAGTTATCAACTCTCAGACTTCTCTGCACTGAGCCCCCAGTGTCTCATCAATTATACTTCAGTGTAATTATCTTAAGCACTCTAGAACTTATCCAGAACTTTCCTACTCCAGTACTTATTACCATGGTGGTTTCTACTCTTGAGTCTCTGTACCAGTAACCTGTGACTCCTTGTATCTCCCTGTGATTCTCTAACATTGAAGTCATTGGTTTGCCCTGTGTCCTCCCATCTTCCCACCTTTTACACATCCCAAAGAATTATTGATTTTTCAGTCTGTTCACCTTTTTTACTTTTGTTGAGATGGAGTAGTGATCTCCAAGCTCCTTACATTCAGAACTAGAAACTGAAAGTCTTTGTAGTATCTTTTAATGGAAAATATTTTCAATTTTTATGAAGTCTAATTTGTCTATCTTTTCTTTTGTTGTTTATGCCTTTGGTATCATATCCAAGAATCACTCCCAAACCCTATGCAGTTTTCCTCCTATGTTTTCTTCTAAGAATTTTATAATTTTAGGTCTTATATTTATATCATGGATCCATTTTGCACTCACTTTTGTATGTGGTGTTAGGTAAGGATATAACTTCATTCTTTTACATTCTGTTTTTCCAGCACCATTTGTTGAAAGACTCTCTTTTCTCCCATTGAATGGTCTTGGCATCCTTGTTGAAACCATTTGACCTTATATGTGAAGATTTATTTCTGGAATCTCTATTCTATTCCATTGGTCTAGATGTTTGTCTTCATGCCAGTACACCCTGTTTTGATTACTGTAGCCTTGTAGTAAGTTTTGAAATTGGGATATGTGAGTCCTCCAGTTTTGTTCTTGTTCAGGACTGTTTTGTCTATTTGAGATTCCATATGAATTTTAGAATGAGATTTTCTAATTCAGCAGAAAGCATCATTAGGATTTTGGTAGGGATTGCATTAAACCTGTAGATCACTTTGGGTTGTACTGACATCTTAGCAATAATAAGTCTTTCTTTTTTTTCTAGAGAGAGAGAGACAGAGAGATGGGGGGGGAAGGACAGAGGGAGAGGGAGACAGAGAATCTTTTTTTGTTTTAAATGGAGCTTATTTTATTTTTATTATTTTTATTTTTTAATAGTACATCATTAGTTTTTTATGTAGTGTTCAATGATTCATTAGTTGCATATAATACCCAGTGCTCATTACAACCCATGCCCTCCTTAATACTCATCACCCCGTTACTTTTTTGAAAAGATTTTATTTATTTATTAGAGAGAGAGGGGGGGGGCAAGAGTGAGCACACATGAACAGGAGAGGCACAGAGGAAGAAACAGTCTCCCCACTGAATAGAGAGCCTGGCACAGGCCTCGATCCCAGGACCTTGGAATTATGACCTGAGCCAAACACAGACACTTAACCAACTGAGTCACCCAGGTGCCACTTAACAGTAATATGTCTTTCAATCCATGAACATGAGATCTCTTTCCATTTATTTATGTATTCTTTAATTTATTTCAGAAATGTTTTTGTTGTTTTCATCATACAAGTTAAGTTAATTCCTAAGTATTAGTTAAGTTAATTAAGTTAGTTAATTCCTAAGTATTTTCATGGTATTGTAAGTGAAACTGTTTTCTGAATTTCCTGTTCAGATTTTTCATTTTTAATATATAGCAATGCAACTGATTTTTGTGTGTTGACTTTGTATCCTGCTACTTTGTTGAATTCATTTAATAATTTTAAGTTTTCTGTGTAATCTTTAGGGTTTTCTACATTTGAGATCATATCCTCTTTGAGCAGAGGTAATTCTGCTTCTTTCTTTCCATTTTGGATGCTTTTTTTTTTTGGCCCAATTGTTCTGGCTAGAATTTCTAATACTATGTTGAATAGAAAAGGTGAAAACAGACCTCCCTGCTTGTTCCTAATCTTAGATGAACAACTTTCAGTCTCTCACCACTGAGTGTTGTTTGCTGTGCATTCTTCAGAAATGGCATTTTATTATATTGAGGTAGTTTCCTTTTATTCCTAGGATTTTGAGTGTTTTTATCATGAAGGAGTGATGAATTTTGGGGCGCCTTGGTGGCACAGTAGGTTAAGCTTCTGCCTTAGGCTTGGGTCCTGGTCTCAGGTCCTGGTATGGAGCCCTACGTCGGGCTCTCTGCTCAGTGGGGAGCCTGCTTCCCCCTATCTCTCTGCCTGCCTCTCTGCCTACTTGTGATCTCTCTCTGTCAAATAAATAAATAAAATCTTTTTTAAAAAAGCAGTGCTTAATTTTGTCAAATGCCTTTTCTGCATCTATTGAGATGATCGTGTTTTTTTTCTTCCATTCTGTTAGTGTGGTGTATTACATTGATTGATTTATGTAGATTGAGTCATCCTTACATTCCAGGAATAAATCCTACTTGCTCATGGTGCATAATTCTTTTAACATGTGGCTGAACTCCCTTTTCTGATTTTTTTTTTGAGGATCTTAGCATCACTGTTCATAAGGGATATTGATCTGTAGTATTATTTTCTTGTAGTGTCTTTCTCTGACTTTGGTATCAGGGTAATGCTGGCCTCATAGAATGATAGTGTGCCTTCCTCTTTGTTTATGTGGAGAAGTTTGAGAAGGATCATTATTATTTCTTCTTTAAATGTTTGGTCAATTTCACCAGTAAAGACATGGGGCCAAGAACTTTTCTTTGTCAGGAGATTTCAAAAAATTACTGATTCATTCTCCTTACTAGTTATAGGTCTACTCAGACTTAAAAAAAAGACTTATTTATTTTAGAAAGAGAGTGTATGCATGAGTGGGGGGGAAGGGAGAGAGGAAGAGAACCTTCAAGCAGACTCCCAGCTGAATGTAGGAGCCTGATGTAGGCTCCACCCTACTACCCATGAAATCGTGGTCTTAGCTTATCTGACTAGGCCATCCAGGCATGCCAGATCTATTCAGATTCTATAGCTATTTGCTCTGTAGTTACCATGGACATTGCATTTAATATCTTAAGGTTATCACAGTCTAATTTGAGTTTATACTAGCTTAACTTTAACTGTTATTTTAACAGCTCTGATAACAAATTTTGCAGGCATTATATTCCTGTTTATTTTTCCTTTGAGGATAGTATTATGTAGCCTTTTATTTTCATAATCACAACCATGTAATCCATGATTTACTATTGTTTTGTTTCAATTAATTGTCACTGATCATTGTAAATGACATTTTTCTAATATTGAGGATATCTTCAAACTGAACAATTTTCATAAAAATAAAGAGGATGAAACATTACAATATGGCTGAAATTATATTTAAAGATTGTAATTTTCAACATTAAAGCTTGATAATTATATAGTAATTGGTTAAATATATAAAAGATAAAATAAGTGTTTAACTGTAGAAAACAAAGTATATTTAATTCAACAGTTTTATGTTTGAAATATTTGGATGCCAGTAAATTGTGGTTAGCATTTATTCTATGTATTCTTCATAGTAATAAAATGCACAAAAGGAAATTTATACCACATTAAAGTACCTTGCACATTAAAATATTAACAGTATTGTCTAAATTTACTGGTATTTTTAAAAGTTCCAAATTCCGAATTTGCTTCATTTTAAGAATAAATGAGATTTGAACTGTACCACTCTTTAAAAGACATAATTGAAAATGATTGCATTGAGTAAATTGCAAATGAATATATAGACATTTGGAAATCAATGAATGAATCTAAAATCCACACCATTAGCCACATGATGTCGCTGTATACCACAAAGTCTTGTCAAAAACTAAAGAGGAAAGCTCCATTTTGTCACAGCCTGAGAGAAGACAAAAACGGCCGGGAGATATATTATTCTAGATATAAAGTAAAGAGAGTATGACTTTGAAGTGAGTGAGAGGTACCAAATTTGTAGTGGTTTTGCGATGCTGTTTCCCAGGCAAGAAGGCAAGGGAACCCTGCGTTTGCTGCTCTGCGTTCTGCTCCTCGCAGCCTGGAAGACTGGAAGTGGTCAGGTCCACTATTCGGTCCCGGAGGAGGCCAAACACGGCACCTTCGTGGGCCGCATCGCCCAGGATTTGGGGCTGGAGCTGACGGAGCTGGTGCCACGCCTGTTCCGGGTGGCGTCCAAAGGCCACGGGGACCTTCTGGAGGTAAATCTGCAGAATGGCATTTTGTTTGTGAATTCTCGGATCGACCGGGAAGAGCTGTGCGGGCAGAATCTGGAGTGTAGCATCCACCTGGAGGTGATCGTGGACAAGCCGCTGCAGGTTTTCCATGTGGTGGTGGAGGTGAAGGACATTAATGATAACCCACCGGTTTTCAGAGCAAGAGAACAAAGGTTTTTTATTCCTGAATCTAGACTGGTGGATTCACGTTTCCCGATAGAGGGCGCTGCTGATGAAGACATTGGTACCAACGCTCTTTTAACTTACACCCTCAGCCCCAGTGATTATTTCTCTTTGGATGTACAGGCAAGTGATGAACTCAGTAAGTCACTTTCACTTGAATTGAGGAAGTCTTTGGATAGAGAAGAAACACCAGAACTTCATTTATTATTGACAGCCACTGATGGGGGCAAGCCAGAGCTGGAAGGTACAGTTCAGCTGCTGATCACAGTGCTGGATGTTAATGATAATGCCCCATTGTTTGCCCAGGCTGGGTACAGAGTCCATTTATTAGAGAGTACAGCAAATGGAACATTAGTGACTACATTAAATGCCTCTGATGTCGATGAAGGTGTAAATGGCGAAATTGTTTTTTCCTTTGGCAGTGATGTTCCTCTAAACATTCAAAAAAACTTCAAAATTGATTCCAGCTCAGGAGAAATTAGACTAATTGGTAGACTGGATTATGAAGAAACGAAATCCTATGAAATTCAGGTAAAAGCAGTTGATAAAGGAAATCCTCCAATGTCGAATCACTGCAAAGTTTTAGTGAAAGTGCTGGATGTAAATGACAATGCTCCACAACTGGCAATCACACCTCTGTCTTTGCCGGTCCGAGAGGACTCTCCACTAGGCACCGTCATCGCCTTTGTCTCCGTGTCCGACCGTGACTCTGGTGTCTACGGGCAGGTGACCTGCTCTCTGATGCCTCCTATCCCATTCAAGCTGGTGTCCACCTTCAAGAACTACTATTCACTGGTGCTGGACAGCGCCTTGGATCGCGAGAGCGTGTCGAACTATGA